ATCTCGTTTGCTCCTTAGTTTGCATGCCCCTTATAAGCCCTCAGTTTCTGTCGAGTCTTTGTGCTGGATTAATGCTATTTTCAACGGTCTAAGTGTGTTGATGTTTATTAAAGACTCCTTTACTTCTACTCCTTTGTCATGCGCCTTTCTTACAACCACGACCACGTAACAGAATCCAGCACCAAGAACAGTTAAAGATGACTACAATTGAGGACAAGCTGTGTGTGCTGTGGCAGAGTGGTCGAATGTTGGAGAGATATGTGGAGGAATTCCTCGCGCTTTCCAACGAGGTGAGCTGGCACGAATCTTCACTTGGTGCGTGTTTCCAGCTGGGGCTGGACGATGATATAATCCGCTGCGATCTCCCTACGTGTGACTTTCCCCTGATCGAGCTGATTAATCTCGTCCTCTATTTAAACGATTCCAACTTTGAGGTGGAAGAAGTCAATTCTAAGTCTCCTCGTCCAGCCCCCTCTGGAACAAGCCGTGTCTCCCCAGCTCACCTCACGTCAGGAACCCCCACAACGCTTTTGGACATGACGCTGTTTCTCGGCCCCTATCCTCTCTCCAGAGTCCGCTCCAGAAAGCTCTCCATCGTCTCTTGAGTCTCCTTCGCCTCCGCTGGTCCCGTCCAGCCCTCCTTCATCTCCTGAGCCCCCTGTGTTAGCGAACTCCGCTCCTCCAGAGCGCCCTCAAGTGCCCGCTCCTCCAGAGCACCACCCATCCGGGAGGGGGGCGACTATCTGTCACGTGTTTGTTTCAGTTTAGTTCCTGTCTGCCCTTATTTGGTTCAGTTCCTGTTCTCATTTAGTTAATCATCGTTTATTCAGATCACCTGTGATGTATTATTCATCTCGGTTGCTTCTTAGTTTGCATGTCCTTATAAGCCCTCAGTTTCTGTCGAGTCTTTGTGCTGGATTAATGTTATTTTCAACGGTCTAAGTGTGTTGATGTTTATTAAAGACTCCTTTACTTCTACTCCGTCGTGCGCCTTTCCTACAAACACACGACCACGTGACAGTTGCAGATTAATAAAAAAGTATAAATAATTTCCAATACACCAATAAAAAATAAAAAAATAATAATAATATTGCCAATATTGTTATCGATACCAATATTTTTTTATTTATCTGTAACAATGTTTGAAATTGGTTATATAATTTTTAATTTATCTATAACAATACTGGAAATGTATAAATTTTTTATTTATCTGTATTAATATTGGATCTTCAATTGTGCATGCTCATTTTCCCTATTTTGACATTTGCATTAGCTTCTTAGTAATCGGACAGAATTTTGATATTATTCCATCCCTACCTTTAACTCATTATTAATAAAAGTTACAGGGATGTATGTATTCTAGAATAGGTTCCCAGGCCAATCAGAGCCAGTGAGACGTTAGGACAGAGCGAACGCTCTGTGCTAGAGGGTAGCAGCGAGTTCCAGAGCGTCAGACGCTCAGAGACCTGTTCTGTGAATCATTAATCTCGTCCTCTATTTAAACGATTCCAACTTTGAGGTTGAAGAAGTCAATTCTAAGTCTCCTCGTCCAGCCCCCTCTGGAACAAGCCGTGTCTCCCCAGCTCACCTCACGCCAGGAACCCCCACAACGCTTTTGGACATGACGCTGTTTCTCGGCCCCTATCCTCTCTCCAGAGTCCGCTCCAGAAAGCTCTCCATCGTCTCTTGAGTCTCCTTCGCCTCCGCTGGTCCCGTCCAGCCCTCCTTCATCTCCTGAGCCCCCTGTGTTAGCGAACTCCGCTCCTCCAGAGCGCCCTCAAGTGCCCGCTCCTCCAGAGCACCACCCAGAATTCCTAATTTTCCCCAAGAAAATTTGGGGGAGGGGGGGCATATACCCGTGGCCGAGCCGGCTAAGGCCACGGAGGAGCCTCGCCTCCGCTGGTCCTGCCCAGCCCTCCTTCATCTCCTGAGCCCCCTGTGTTAGCGAACTCCGCTCCTCCAGAGCGCCCTCAAGTGCCCGCTCCTCCAGAGCACCACCCAGAATTCCTAATTTTCCCCAAGAAAATGTTTTTTTGGGGGGGGGCATGTGGCCGAGCCGGCTAAGGTCACGGAGGATCCGCCATGGCCTTCTGAGTCCCCTGATCCGCCGTGGCAACCTGAACTGTCTGCTCTGCCGTGGCAACCTGAACTGCCTGCTCCGCCATGGCAGCCTGAACTGCCTGCTCCGCCATGGCCCCCTGAACTCCCTGATCCGCCCTGGAGGCTCTCCTTGTCTCCACCTTGTTCCTGCCCTGCACCAGCCTCCAGGGCGCCCGTCCCCCCTCCCCGGTGTAACTGTTACTGCGCGGGACTCGACTAGTTTGCATGTCCTTATAAGCCCTCAGTTTCTGTCGAGTCTTTGTGCTGGATTAATGTTATTTTCAACGGTCTAAGTGTGTTGATGTTTATTAAAGACTCCTTTACTTCTACTCCGTCGTGCGCCTTTCCTACAAACACGACCACGTAACCGGTGTACATGGGAACATGAAAATAATTATTTTGGAAAGTGATTATTCTCGCTGATAATGTATTTATTTAATTATTTATTCTTAAAAATAGAATTTCAATGAATAAATAGTGCTAAAAAAAGAAACTGGTTCCAATAATTCAGTGAGCATTAGATAAAGGTATTTGGCATAATTTTAAAGTGCTCATGTTCTTGTCTTTATTTTATTTTTATTCTTGTTGTTGACACTTTCAACAACATTTAGTAAAATGCCACTGCCAACATTCAAAAAAAAAAAAAAAAAGTCACAGTTTTTAGGATAAACTACTTTGACAGACAGATTCAGTGTTGCGCAAACTAGTTGTAAATTTCCAATGTCACTTGGGTGCAGCACCCATGAAGTAGCCAACTACACTAGATGTCTTCTGGGAATAAAACCAATAACACGTTACCATTATTGTAAAAAAATAATCAAATTATTATAATTAGTAGTCACTAATTTGCTCAAAGTTTAAAACATCCTACATTGCCCTATGGACATGAATGATACCTCAAATCATGAGGTTTGGTGAGAAGCGGTCTGGAAATGAATGATTGTTGTTATAATACAACACACACACACACACATACATATATATATATATATATATATATACTGTGTGTGTGTATATATATACTGTATATATATATATTTGTATGTATATAGAACATATATCACATTTATATTACATTTATACATGCAACTTTAAATAGTCTGTGTAAATGCCATATCAGATGTAGCTTCTGTTCCATTTGTGTAGTGTAAAGATGGCTTGTTGATGAAATTTTATTTGCAACAGTCTAGTATTCTGATTAAAATAATGGGTTAAATCTAAGCATTTGACATAAAAGACAATACAGACACATTTAATAATTATAACAATGATCTTTACAAAGGTATTCAACCCTGGGAATCAATTGCAGTGGGCAAATATGGTCCCTTAAATGAAAAAGTTCATTTCTGACCATGTATCAGATGATTTCCTTCAGGCAGATGCTAAATTGGGGAAGAAGAAAAAAATCTCATAGACTCACATTGAAGGTGGGACCCGAGTCATTTCTACTGTAGGGTCCAAAATTTTTTTTAATGTTGTTTCATCATGAAAAAATTTTCACAATAAATGATATCTGGATGTTCATCTGCATCAAGATATTAATCAAAATGTATTTGACCAAAAATGTCAACACGACATTTCCTTTTTCATTGGTATTATTCAACACAGTGATGAGCAGCACAGCTGCATGTGTGCGGCATCTTCACGTTTACATAGGAAAACAAAACAGTCTTGCTCTGGTTCTGGAACATTGTACATAGTGTTGAGAAGCTATAAAACTACTGACGCTTTGCAGCCACATCACAGCCAGATTCTGGGTTTTGCGGTCTTGCTCTGAAAACCATCTCCAAATACAAGAGTGCCGCAGGACATTCTGTTCCCAGCTCGTGCTGTGAAAGTTCCAATCAGCGCTGAAAGAGATATCCCACAATCCTTAATCCTACTGCGCTCAAACCCAGCTTTTTGTTTTTGTACTGCATCCAAGAGTTCAAAGTGTCCCCCTCTTGTGAGACAGCAGAGAGGCTCTGTTTTGTAAAGGAATAAGTTTTTGAATCGAGTCGCCACCTGTAGTTTACACATGGGGAACGTAGCTCCCAGCTGCTAGTCACTTTAGATCTTGTTCCGTGAATACAATAGCACAGTTTCAGCTGATCACATGGCAGGGCCGCGTCTGGACGATGCCGTTTTTTTCTCATAGCCTGTAAACACGGCCGTGACCCTCCCCGGATACGGCAGGGGGGCTTCTGAGGACAAGGAGAGGGCCTCCTGTCTTCTCTTTCATCACAGATTGGGCAGTTGCTCCATAGAAGATCATTACTGAAAACAGACAAGATAATTTTAATGCGTAGACATACATGAGAACATGCATTGTACCTTAACACACATCATACATGGTTGCAGCTGTCCGATATTATCTATACACTGTAAATATAATTTCCTTAATCAATATTTTTGTCTTGTTAAATTGTTATTTATTTATTTAAAATTGTATTATATAATGAAACTTGTTTTTAGAGACTGTATTTTTTTTTCTTTTTTGAAACATAAACCTCAATAAATAAATAAATAAAAATGAAGACAAGAATGTCAGATGAGAAGATAAGAAAAGTTTATGTAATTTAAGATATGTATACAACAGCTAAATGTACCTTAATGATTTTTAGATATTTTGCTGAAAAAAAGAGACAAAAATACTGATTAAGAAAATGTTTTACAATATGAAGAAATTCCTAGACAACATTTTGGAGGGATTGCCTATTTTCCAGGCATGTTCTTTCAAACTTGAACTAATATATTCCTTCATGGATCATAAAAAAGTGTGTGTGTTTGTGTGTGTGTGTGTGTGTGTGTGTGTGTGACAGAGAGAGAGCGAGAGAGAGAGAGAGATAAAGAGAGTGTGGTGTGACTAATGTCAAAAAATCCTTTTAGCATGACTGCTTTATTGGCTTTTGTCTCAGCAGGATAATGTAGACCGAGCTGCCAATCACAGACAGTCAGATTTGATTGGACCAGGTTTTCCGCCGTCAACCAATCGGAATTCACCCAGCCATCAAGGTCAGTGAACTAATAATTTGAATGTGCACTTTATACATTTCTTAAAATAAGATACCCTGGCTCCAGTGTTTGTAATGACAATAATTTTTTGTGGTTATGGTGTATGATATGATGTATGGTCTTAATATCCAAATCAGAGGTAGAGCGTTTTAATAGATGTGCAGAATTGCTTCAGGTTTAATAACTCACATAATTAACAAGTGAGTATGTGTGTGCATACTTGATTATGGGCGGGGGCCATCTGTCTCACACACTTGGACTTGGGTGGGGGCTGTCTGTCGTAGATGCCTTTTATAGTTGGAGACTTGCTCATTAAGTTCAAACTGGGATCTATATTCAGGCCTCTTCCGCTGTAAACACTCCAGCAGTTCAAAGGCTTGATTTGTAAAGACACAGGGTGCCACTCATTAAGCCTCCAACCTAATTGTGCCATACAAAAATACAGAGGCATGATATTTGGAGCATGAGATTTAAGCACAATATCGCCTCAGCATGGGAGGTAGAGCCTGAAGTTTTTTTTTTTTTCCTTCTGAAAGTCTGATGCTGTCATTGAAGTAAATGGAGCAGAAATTCTCATTTAGGACTTCTCAGAGTACACCGAAAAAATCCTCACAGCTGTGACTACACTAAACTCTTGGCTGTAATAATTGAGTGGATACATATAGTATCGATAGATAGATAGATAGATAGATAGATATTTTTTTTCTGTTGATTTGTGGATTTTTTATAGAGGAGAAACAATAATGTACAGTATGTGGAAAATAATGTGTTTTTTAACTTTAAACCGCATAAACACATTTCATTACACCAAATACACAAAATAATGTTTTTTTAAGCAACATCACATGACCCCTTTAAAATGTGACATTGTAGGCTTTTAGTACAAATGGATTACCTTTGATGGGTCTAAATAAGTGTTTTGCTTTCTGGAAGTGTGTGGGGTTTGTCATTGATCCTCTCTCATAACAGGAGCCTTCGGTTACATTATTAACTGCAAGTGTTATTCAGCTTGGGTTTTTAGTAAGAATGTATGATTTATACGATTTTGTATTCTGCAGAAGAAAGACATGCAGTCGTGCAGTTTTTTTGTATGAGCTTTGTTGTTTGAACTATCTGTATAATTGAGATATTTATAGAGATATTTACTAGTTCTGGGCTTGAAATTGAAAAGCTGGATCAGACCACTGCAGAGTTATTCAAAGGTATTGTTTTGTTGAGGTCAGTTCGTCTCCTACACCGCATGGTTTTGATGGACCCATGGGCAGCAATATCCAGGGCATTGCATTCTTTAGAAGAAAGAGGTTTTAGTCTGGTGGGTGGATGGGGTTTATAAGATTATAGAAGGTGAGGTATATGAAACTCTGATTAGGCTGATGTTTCCTAAGAACAGGCCCTGATCCCCATTATTGTTTTTCCAGATTTCCCGTGTCTTTACTCACACTCTGCTCTTTGACCGCCAGGGGCATTTTTACCCATCATTCTCTCTTTGACTACTTTTACATGCTCACCAGAAAACTGCTTATTGTAAGAAAGCTGTTTAGGACACAAAAGCGGCATACATTTATGGGGATGATTAACCCAGAAATGAAATTTATGTCATTTACTTACCCTGTCGTTTCAAGTCTTTATAAAAGAAGATATTTTTAAGAATGTTGGTAACTGAACAGTTTTGGTTACCATTGAGTTCCATTAAATGGTCAAAAAATATTTATGTTTCACAGTAAAAAGGAAGACAAACAGTTTTTTAATGACATGCGGGTGAGTAAATGATGACAGAATTTAGTTTTTTTAGGTGAGCTATCACTTTAACCCACATATATGCAACATCATTAGTAAACAGTTCCCTTTCATGGGAACTTCGAACTGCGTCCTCTAGGGGTCGCTATGGGGAACGCCTCGTCGTGACCCGGGTCTGAAGCATACATTGAAAAAACACCAACTCGTTGGCCGGCGACAGCCATGACGTCACTACCGGTTCGACTATAGTATAAATAGGCGCCGGGAGCACACATCATTCTCTTCTTCGTCTTCATTGACTGTTTTGTTTGAAGCGTGCATTTCTGTGGTAAGAGCGATCTCTATTCATCTCATTATGGTGAGAACTAGCAAAGCGTTTAAAGATGTGTGCATCCGTGTTGACGTTGTTTAACATCTGATGACACACACGATCTATGCGTTGTTTGTTTGGGCGAAGAGCACGCACGCGATGCCTCCGAGGGGGCAATCAGCGTGCACTGCGAGCGTTTTTTCCAAGGGAAAAAGCATAAGTAACCTGAGACGTTTTCTCTGTACCTTTCCATTACTTTAGCTATCCCAAGCAAAAGCACACTTTAAAGTGTGGCCACTTTTCAGTTCATATGGCAAAATTCCACAGGCGAAATGCAGTCATCTCATTAGGATTTGAGGGAAGGAAACGTGAGATGAAAAGTTTCTTTTCACTGATTTTACATCGGCTTCAAGTTTGTGGAACTGTTTTGCAATACAGCACATTGTTCGAGGACTACTTTTAATGAAGTGATTTTGTCTTTTTGGAACATGACAGATCCCATCCTCCTTCACTTTATAGTATATTATATGTTGTATATTTTGAAGGGTTAGGATTACCCTGCATGTCCGTTATCTATCAAAAACTCTGCTCAGGCTCATATTTTCTATTCTTCTCCCACTCCTTCTCCATATGAATCCCCCACCCATGTATCTCCCTCCTTCCCCCCTGTATTGTCCTTATATGAAGGCACTGTATTGTTTGGCCAACTTGGGAACTCTTTGGAGTGCTGATTATATCTGTGAAAAAACTGCCTCCTTTCACATGCATACATCCGTGTGTGTTTTTTGAGGCACATATCTCCCCCCACGAGTCTTCTACAGAACGCTCCTGCCCAAGCGATTCCTCCTTTCCCCTTTTAGCACGCCCGTCTCTTTGTTAACTCACAATTAGCATGTTAATTGTCACCAGCTGGATGGTCTAATGGACTCAGTCGTAAACATGGTGCTATAAAACATGTTTTAAAACTTTTGCATTTGTCTTTAACAATCTTTGGCATAACTGAACCAATTTAACCACTTTGTCTTTGGCAAAGAATCAGCAGCCTCAAAAGTAGATTAGCTTAGATAAATTTGTCACTGTGCCATTAATGGAACCAGATACATTGTGGTAAATTAGCTCATGCACACCACTGCTAAAGTGGAACCATATGGAAATCACTGACATATCAGGATGTGTTTCGAGCATCACCCTCTACTAATTGTTGAAAACTTCAATTTGTCATACTCTAAAACCCTTCAGCCATCTTTTAATTAGACAAATATCCAAGGTCCTGTTTGCATTACATTAATGCCCGTCTCAGATGATCCAATCATAAGTGGGCAGTTGAGACATATTTTCATTGGTATTAATGTTTCCTAAACAAGTGCACTGCTTTTAAGGCATAACCAGCTACATTTAAAGGGGTTAGTTGACCCATAAATGAACATTTTGTCATAATTTAAGCAAATGTCATTCCAAACCCTTAAGATTTACATTCATCTTTGGAATGCAAATAAAGGTATATACAGCACATCAAATAACAGCAGCTCAAACCTGCTTGATTGATGCCCAAGAACCAATGAGGTTTGTTCTTATACATGAGGCATTATATGTATATGTACTCTATGTATGTCTGTTGATCAGTGTCTCTACAAAAGAATTGGATTAAACCACTTTAGTAATATGGATTACTATTACAATGTCTTTATTAAGCTTGAATATTTTGGTTGAATGTACTTTCAATGGATGGGCAAAATAATGAGAGAATATTAAAAATGCCTTCATTTGTGTTCTGAAGATGATTGGAAGTGGGTTTGGAACACATTTGAGTTGACAGATATACCATTTATATTTGGTTGTGCCGCACAGCTACCACAACCACTTTAAAATTAAAATTATTACTGCAAAGTAAAATATTTTAAATACATCAGATGATGGCATTCCTTCTCTGAATTAAAAATGGACTTTAGTTATTTATAAATAATGCTTAATATTTTTGGTTATTATTTTTTGAACATTTTTTTTCAATCTTTTTTCTTAAAATAGCTTCATCTAGTGGCGTCTTTCTTTAGACTAGCCCTGAGTGTACTGTACTCCATCTAGTGTTGTTGTTTTTTTTAAATAATAATCATCTTTCTTTGTCATGATGTGTGTCTAATTAGGCTGTGTTAATCAATAAGCCGAAAGAACACCGGTTAAGATGTTTGCAATCCATAATAGGTAAAAATCTACTTGTGTCGATTGGTTTATGCTTATCTGTCTAATGACTTTGTGACCGTTATTTCTTACTCTGTTTTTAAAATTTGGGCTATAGTTCACTCAATTCATTGGAATTGACTGATTCATGAGGCTGATTCCAACCAGCCATGCACCGGCTCCAGCGCTACAACCACTCCAATGTATAAGAGGCAAAAAAAGTTGGCAGAACTCAATTTACCTCAGCCTGGAATTTAAACAGCTCTCTTAAATATAATCAGATTCTGGCACCACAGTCTCTACTTTCAAAAATACAGTTAGCATTAGTTTAATTAGCTGATTACCCAAATGGTAATAAAACAGTACATTTGACGCTGTGTTCCCATGGCTGCTGAGTCAGTTTGCATTGCTTCCCACACTTGCTGAACGCTGAGTACTGTGCAGTCGGCAGGCTGGAGGAGCTGTTCTACTGAATCAGTCATTTCTCAGAGATGTCTGGGATGAGTCCCAAATCATCAGGTGTTTTTCTTCCGGAGAGCCAGCATAAACACTAGGACAGTTATTTTCTGAAACATCCTCCTGCAATCACACTGGTGCCTGAATTTGTGGCTATGCTTCAGTAAGGCTGTTTGAGAATAGACAGTGGATTTGCAAAGTCCAAAAAATGATCAAATGTACTCTTTCAGTCATAAAAGATGCCAAATACAGATTAGAATTTGTCCTGTGTAAATTGTTTTGATTTTTAACCACTTGTTTGTTTTAGCTCCCTCTGCTGGATATCAAGTAATCTGCTCCATCTGCTCATCCTCAAATAATTCCTGTATGACCTGTATGACAGGCTAAAATTTTAGTAATGTCTGATTTGCCAACAAATAAATAGGTGCAGTTAAAAAAAAAGTTCTAAATAAATTTTGGGACATACTGATGTGGTCAGAACTGTTAACAGGTGGAAGGGAGTATTATCAATCAATAAACTTCAGGATGTTTGTCACTCACAGCAATTATGGCTTCATGACACTCTGAATATAACTACTTTCATTATATTTTTTTATTATGGTTTTATAGTGCTTCCATCAAGCTTTAAAGCTCCATTGTAATTCCATGGAAGTGAGAGTAAGACTATATGTGAATATATGTGAATATATACAATAAGAATGTGAACTTGTCCTTTAAATTACTGAGTTAATGAGCTTAGGTTTAGAAGTACAGTTAGAATTAATATTAGTGCACATATTTAAATGACCTTATTCAGCACTAAAACAGAACTGCATCATGGTTGATGCTTGCCAGAAATGGGGTTTAGAGTGCCGTCTTGTCATGCTGTTAAGCCATGTTCAATTAAAAGTAACCTGTCAATCACAACTCTCTCTAGAGCAATAGACCTGTTTATCGAGTTTCAAAAGATAGTTGGGGTTCAGACAGGGGACATTCCAAACATGCAATATGAAAACAAAATTGTTGCTTTTTATCGATTCTGTTGTTTCATTTGTGGATTTTATTTGATTTATTTTTATATAATTCAATTTTTACCCATACCCAAGAGATTTGTTCCTTTTACCCCATGGCGTGACTTCACTCTCAACCTCCCCACTGTGCTACAGCCTGAGTGTGTGAATGTATCTTAGCTCTCCAGGATCTCTAAGTAGAGAAGGGGCTTACTTGTCTCTATTAATACATAGGGATCAGCTGATTATCTGATGGGTTTTCAGAAAAAGGTCTTTCAGAGGGCACAGGTACACATAGGATGCCAAGTAAAGCATAGAACAAATAAAAATTAAATAAAAATAGGTGCATATTTTAGTTCAGACATGATTAAAAAATTAAGAGTGTGAGACTACACTACAGTATGTGAGTGTATTAAATTGCCCTCTAGTGGTGTAATCATGAAATGCATCTCTGAAAGTTAATAAATTGTCTGTGATCGTTCCAGTCCAAGATACTGTTTGCTTAATACTATGTTACAGGCATTATAAAATACCCTGAATAATAATGGCTGTGACATAAGACATCTGTTCTCCATATCACTGCTCAGCACCTGCAGAGGACAAATAATTATATTAGATCACATGTTGGGACTTCTTGCAGAAGGATGGCACATTATGATTTTGCTTGATACGACAACAGTGAACATTTTATACTTGTCTGATTTAGTGAACATTTTATACTTGTCTGATAAAAGTAAACTAATTATCTAACAGACTTGATATGTATTATGTCTGATAGTGTTTTTTCTTACTCTTTCTCTCCCTGCAAGAGGATGACGTGGATCTGGAGGCTCTGGTGAATGACATGAACTCATCCTTTGAGAGTCTGTATACTTCCTGCAGTGTGCAGACTGAATCCACTCCACTGCTGCACAACGGCCAGCTGCCCCGCCACGCCGCCTATCATACACACGCCCAGCCCACCTCCCCACACCAGAGACTGCACCGGTCCCAGCCCATGCACATCCTCGCTGTCAGGTAAAAACCCTGCACATATATGCACATAAAAGTTGCGTTTATTTTAAAGAAAGATAACACCATTTCAAAGCAAGACGTTTACCATTAACACTTTTAATGACAGAACTTTCTGGCTTTCCATGTTTTAGCTCTGAATCAAACACAGGCAAAGAAGAAGTAGAAATAAGTGACTGCTTATCAGTGGCGGCTCGTGGGTTTTAAAATAGAGGAGGCACACTAATTGTATTGGTCTGGGATCCCTGCCGATTATTATTATTATTATTATTATTATTTGCTTAACCACTTTAAAATGGCTTTTTGGTTGCTTTTAGTAAGAAAACGACATACATGACATACATTAATATAATTTCACTTACCTGGCCTATCACGTGAAGCAAACATCCATCCCTTCTTAAAAGCTGCCTGTTGCGCCATTTAATTAAGCCGACTGCTGTAGCCTATATCCAGCTTAGGCTGTTTTCCCTAAATTTGTATATATACTGTTTGAATGACAGCTTGGTAAATCTGTTGGCGATCAAATATTCAATATCGCTACTCATCATAGTTACTTGACACATTATCAGCGCAGCGGGAGACGTTCAAACTAATATCACATTTTACGTCTCTTTGATGATTGGTTGATATCAGAAGGGAGGCTAGCCTCCTTGCCAGGGTTCTTTTCTCAACACTCCTCAGCGCTGAAAGTGAACACTCGATGGTGATTGGCTAATTTTTTTTACCAACGGAGGCACGAGAGCTCAGCGTCTCCCCCGGCCTCCCCCTCTGCTTCTCTATCATTAGCGGTTGCAATTACATCAGCAGATTCGGCACATTCGCTGCTTATGTAATCAGATGCATATGTAAAATAACGTAATCATCAAACATTAAACAGCATATCAAAACAAGTCAAAACTGCCTAACGCTACAAAATGAAATGTTGACCCAGGATATGGTAAAGGACGGTGGAAACTTTGGGGTGTTGATTGGAAGCAATCTACTCCATCTGTGTTTTGATCATCATTCTGAATCCAATCCGGATGTAGTCTTTGAAAAATATGGGATTTTCTCGGCTTTTTGTTCAAAATGTCACTTTTTTTTTTTCATGAAACTTACCTAGATTGAAGTGTTGATAAAAAAGACAACCCAGGCTCATTGGAAATGCGTGCTTGTGGTGACATTTCTGCAGCACTGATATTATGTACCTTACTGCATATTTTGCGACGGGAGTGTCGCTAAAAGTTTAATGCTGTATCGTGTTGGAAATCCCCCCTACACCAAACCCAACTCTAAACCTACCCGACAATGTTAAACAATGCAAAAGTGATATAATAACACATTCACTGATGCAACCATGCTATTTTAACTTCCTTATATGACAGTTTGATCGAACCGTAGTTTCAACGCCGTATCGCGTGAGCTACTGAGTTTGAAAACCCATACATGTGAAGCTGTATCTGTGATGCTATAGTTCAAAATGATCAGTTTTCAAATCTAGCAGCATGATAATTTCGTTCTGAAGTCATTACATATTATGCAAGGAACTGTGCGAAAATTAGGCACTGGCCCTATAAATCACACTTTGTGTGAAAAATAATAAAAGTTTTCAGAGTTTTACTGCCTGCCTCTAGTGTTCATTTCAACTGGAAACTGCAGCGATTTATAAATATAGGCAATTTGTTTTTAGTTTTGTAGTTATGTAAGTACACTCAATAAATAAATAAATGTAAGTTTTTTTTTTTTTTTAGATTTTCACAATTTAATTAATAGTAAAATTCAGTAAAAATAGTAAAAATGTATTTCAATTGAATAATTAATTAAGGATTGTTCAATTATTCAATTAAAACAAGTAAGGATTATTCAATTCAATTTGATGGAATTTTACTATTAATTCAATTGCGTAAATCTGAAAAAATATTTTCAATAAGCCTGGGTAGCAACAATAATACATTAAGTTTTTTTTTTTATATAAAGCAGAGGCTCTGTTCTTTAAGATATTCATACAACAAAATATTCTGGGGGCCATTGAAATTTAGTGAAAATGACCAAAACTGATGGCGGTAGCTGGCAACCTTTTTAATTTTTTTTATTTTAAAGGGGTCATATGATGCGATTTCAAGTTTTCCGTTCTCTTTGGAGTGTTACAAGCTCTTGGTGCATAAAAAAGATCTGTAAAGTTGCAAAGACTAAAGTCTCAAATCCAAAGAGATATTCTTTATAAAAGTTAAGAGTCAGCCACGCCTACCTAAAACGGCTCGTTCTAACACGCCCCCACACTGTAAACCCGAACAGTACTACTAACTTATAAAGATTAAGAACACTGCAATTAAAGTCTGTTAAATCGTTGCTTTGTAGAAAACGAAGCGTTTGAGAGAGGCGGGGCATAGAGGACCTACAATAATGTACAGTATTTGAAAAATAAAGTGCTTTTTGAACATTAAAGCATGTCAACATATTCTGTTACACCAAATACACAAAATAATGATCTTTAAAATAGCATCATATGACCCCTTTAAAGCTGGCAGGGAAAGAGTTAAGAAGTTAATTGGTCTGAAATTATAAAACAATCGATGCAGAGTTCATGATTGAAGACAAAATATATTTGACAGTTTATGGCTGTTAAACATTAAGGGAACATGTTGCTAGTGACTTCATACATACACTAAAAATGACCTTGGGACCAATTGCTCAAAAGTCATGAAAATTGATGAGAAAAGTGAAGTTAGTTAGTAAAAATTTTACTTTTCAGATGATACTTGCATTGTTATTGTGATATTTAACAGCTAAACAAAAGAAAAATAATCTAACAGACATTTTTAAACATAGCATACAATAAGTGTCCAAATACTTTTGGGATGCACTTTACAGGTGCATCTCAATAACTTAGAATGTCGTGGAAAAGTTCATTTATTTCAGTAATTCAACTCAAATTGTGAAACTCGTGTATTAAATAAATTCAATGCACACAGACTGAAGTAGTTTAAGTCTTTGGTTCTTTTAATTGTGATGATTTTGGCTTACATTTAACAAAAACCCACCAATTCACTATCTCAACAAATTAGAACATGGTGACATGCCCTACTTCAGTCTGTGTGCATTGAATTTAATACACGAGTTTCACAATTTGAGTTGAATTACTGAAATAAATGAACTTTTCCACGACATTCTAATTTATTGAGATGCACCTGTATATGCGCACAGCACATTTTGTTCAAATAAATAATGAAAGCAGTGCAAATTAAATTAAAACTTCAAAGAAATTTCCAAAACAACACTACAATCTTTTTCAGCTTGACTTCCTTTGTTTCCATCAAGAGTGGTATTCCTGTTTTTCCATTGCTCTTTTGTACCAAAACCTCTGAGAATAAATGGTTCCATTTGGTGAGCGTGTTTTTCCCTCTCAGCTGTGGATCAGAGCAGGAAGTTGAGCATAAAGAGCTCATGAACGAGGGTTCACTCAAGCAAAGGTTCATTCAGAGGTTATTGTTCAGACTTGAGTTCAGCTCTGAATTCCATATCACACACTCCTTCATGCTTTCAAATCTACGGCATGAATGTCTGTGCGTATGTTTCAGTCTTTCTCTGAAGTCCCCACTTCAAAAAGACTCCCCATCTACTGACTTCAAAAAATGGCCCAAAATGCTAATGTTGCCCAAAGCCACCAGCCATTCTAGGCCGACAGTAATGCCCTCAGTGAAAGGTTGCGAGACAAGTTTCTTTTTCTACATTTCATGTCTGTAATATAACCCTAAATCTAATATTTTTCTTTATTCCTCCAGAAGACTTCAGGAAGAGGAACAACAGTACCGAACGTCCTCTCTACCTGCCATCCCCAACCCCTTTCCTGAGCTCTGCAGCCCTGCGAGTTCCCCTACGCTCAGCTCTGGCTCCTTACCTCAGTGTCAGCCCTCAGGCAAATATGTAAGAGACCCTTTGTTCTCATTCCTTTCTCTTTTTAAGGGATAGTTTACTCAAAAATGGAAACTCTGGATATTATTTACTCACCCCATGTCATTCCAACCCAACATAATTATCTCTCAGATAAATTCTGAAGAATATTTGTGCAACTCATTTTCATAAAGCATTAGTTCATAGTGACCATAAAAGTATTAGTAGTCCAATTTTTTTTATTTTTTTGGCATAAAAGTAGTCAAAAAATAAAAAATGCATGCATGAATGCAAAAATGCATAAATGCAATTGCAAATTATATTTTAGAGAGGGAAAAACGGCTTAGATTTCAGTCTGTTCATCCCAGAAAGCCTTTTTTTTTTTTTTTTTTTTT